CACAAAGTACCTTGAAAGCTCCATATCTCGGTTGGTTATGATTCTACTGCATGGCAAAACACTCCCAAGGTACTGCAATGTCAATCAATGCATGAGAGACCTTTCCGCACACGTTTGTTCAGCCTCAGTCAGGTGAGGGACCAGGGCCCTCCCAAAGATTTACTCGGTACAAAAGTTCAATGCTACATGACGCCACAAAGTTACGTGAGCCAGTCAGGGTTGGTTGCTGGACCACCAGGGCAACATCACCTCACCCCCTTCTCTCCTCGACGGTCGAGATGGTCCACTTACCTGGGTGGCTCCTGGGCGGCCTCAGCACAGCTTCTCAGAGGTTTTCCCGATCACTGGAAACGGTTGGGGCAGCCTCCCAAAATCCTCTGCAGATCGTCGTGCCAGCGAGAAAAACAATTAGGGCCTACCGACCCCTTTCTGTGTTCTGTTTTATCTGGGATGCCGATCTGATTGGCAGCCTGGATCTGCTGCTGCCAGAGGGGTTCCTTAGGCAGGCCTGTGGGTCATTTGCATTTGAACACCAAATTTGCCTGCAAACTTGCCTGCCAACGTGTTCGCAAGGGCGGCGGTCCCAGGAAATTTCTCAGTGGGTTTTCCGAGGGCCACAAATGGTCGGGGCAGCCTCCCGAAGTCCGCAGATTGTCCTGCCGGCACAAAAAATAAAACTGGGGCCTACCTGTTCTTTTCTTTTCTTTGTTTCATCTGGGCGCCGATCTAGCCGATTTGACTAGATCGGCAGTCTGGATCTGCTGCTGCCAAAGGGGGTCCTACAGCAGGCCTGTGGGTTGTTCATATTCGCACACCAACCGGCCTGCCAACGCATTCACCCACCTCCAGTTCACTGACTCCCTGTCTGTAGCGACAAGCACTACCATCTCCTCTTTTCTTCTTCTTCTTCTTCTTTGAAATACAGACCCTCCTCAATGGTGACCCTCCTCCATCGCAACACTCCTCCCCCTCTATTGCAACATTCCTGCCCCCCTATCGTGACCTCCCTCCCCATTGTGACCCTGCACCGCCATCGTGACTCTCTTCCCCATCACAACAATCCTTTCCCCCCATTGACAAAATCCTCCTCCCTAAGGAGACAATCCTGCCCCCTGTCACAACCCTCCACCCCCAATAGCCACTATCTTCCCCATTACGGCCCTCCTTCCCATTGCGACCCTATTCACCCTACTTTGCCCCATCAGGAAACTCCTTTTGCCCCATTGTGAAACTCCCCTTTTCTCCATCACGACCCTCCTCTGCTCCATTGCGGAACTCACCCCTCCTCATCGCAACCCTCCTTTCCCCCCACTCCCATCGACAAAGTCCTACTCCCCATCGCACAACTCCTGCCCCTTGTTATTGGCTCGCCTTTTTTTCGGGGTCACTTTACACTGGCTTTCTTGGTCTCTCTTCTTCTCCTGCTGCTGCTGCTGCTGCTGTTGTCATTTTGCTTACTGTGGAAACAGGCCTCTGACCCCAACCACCTCCCCCCCCCAACCTCTTTTGAACAACAAAGAAAAGAACAATCACATGTTCATCGTAGAGTACAAATCTATTTCCTAGATTAACAATGCCAAGCACCCCGGCGCAATAGGTCAACACCTTCCAAACACATCTCTGCTACATTCGTGCAACCGCATGCAGTTTCTCCATGAGGGAAAGGGCATGCCAGCCAAGCAGACAGTCAATCCAAAGCACCACGAATATGGAGATTGCACGTGAGCTTAGAGGAACAAACCTTGGCTCAAATTCATCCCTTCCAGAGGAGGGCTTCTCATATTGTTCAACGCTGCCAAACTAGCTGCTCCTTGCGACTGTTTTACGGGGACATGTTGATGTTTCTGTTGTTGCACCTGCAGTACACCACGTGAACCCAGCAGCTGACCTGTAGTGCCAACTGTATGCGCTGTGCTTGGGGCAGCATGCCCTCCTCCAACTGAAGAGTCCATCCCTTCCACAACCGCCTGTTTCAGATGCCTTGAACCCACGCCCCCTTTCACCGGTCCCTCCACTTTCCACCCATTCTTGGCCACCTGTAGAGGAACCCCTGAAGAGGTCCCACCACCATTTTGCTGTTTCCCACCTCCCCTGCGTCCATTCCACATGCCTCTAAATGCCGACCCACCTGCACCTGCATTTTTCGCCTTCCCCCCAGGGTCAACCAGCACCCCATTCCCATTATGACCCGTTCCCAAGATGCCGGAGCCGCCATCTCCATTCATATTCCTGGATCCCACACCTGTGAGGTTCGCACTACCTCCTCGAGAACCCCCTCTTGATTTTGGGACCTCGGTGTCCCTGGTGCCATCTGTTGCCCCAACTGGCCACTGGGGGTGATCACTAACCTGGCTTGTTATTGGATGCTGGCTGAACGCAAAACCACTACCTGACATCTGCTGCTGGCAGCTATTGTGCAGAACATCGCTGCACAGCAACTCCTGCTGAGCACTTGGCGAGATTCTGTTGAACACTGCAGGCACACACGACTGCGCACCACTACAAGGCTGCAACGACTTAGAAACAGTCTTCATAGCCTCTGCACAAGGCCCAGCCACCTGTTGCCCACAGTCGATCCCTGTAACTGTTGTGCCCCAGGCTCTTGTCGGACTGAAGCTCCAAACCCATGCACCTCCTGCTGCCTCCGCTTCTGCGCCCAATCCCCCCTCCAAGTTATGGTCATCCCTGCTGCCCAAAGTCACACCTATGGGTTGTGGCACCTGAGACACGCCATTCTGTAGTGCATCACCATTATAGCCCCAGTACTTCCCCACTCTCAGGGCCTCATCACCGCCACCATTGCCTTCTCCATCCCTCACTGGATACTCCTGTGCATTTGACCAGAAGCTTAACCCTCTTCGCTCAGTTTCCAGCTCACCACGATCATTCCACTGATCAGTAGCTGTATTCAGCGTGCAGAAGCCCATTCCATCACGCTCCCACCACAGCTTGTCCCTTGAGGCTCCCATCCCATTTTCTGTTTGTCCCATTCCTCCCACCCAGGCAGTTCCCAGACCAAAGTCCATCTCTAACTCTTTCCCAGCCTCTTGTGCGGCCTCTGCAATTCTGCCTGGCCACATCCGTGAACTGGCTTTTTGGGTAAAATTTTTACCACTGTGACTTCGCTCCTGCTCCACATTATCTGCATTCAAAATGACACAGAATATACAGAGCCACAACAAGCCAAGCCCTCCAACAACATTAGCACTAGCATTCCCTGTGCGGGCAATGCCCAGACCAAAACCAGAATGAACACAGATTCAGATGTTATTGATCAGGTTTAATGGTTTGAGAAGCCCACAAACAGAAAATAGAACTCTCTCTCTCTCTCTCTCTCTCTCTCTCTCTCTCTCTCTCTCTCTCTCTCTCTCTCTCTTGCACGCACACGTGTGCATGCGCACTCTCTCCCCATCTCTTTCCCTCTCTTTATCTCCTCCCAAATCTCTTCCTCTCCCTCTCTCTGCAACCCTCTCCACTGTCCACAACCAACTCCGTCCCCCATCCATAACCAACTCTCCCTCCCCCGTCCATACCCAACTCTCCCTCCCCCGTCCATACCCAACTCTCTCCCCCATATCCGTACCCCCTCAATCCATACCCGACTCCGTACCGAACTGTCTTCCCCCCGTCCCCCCAATCCATACCCAACTCTCCCCCCCCAATCCATACCCGACTCCGTACCGAACTGTCTTCCCCCCGTCCCTGCCTCGCTATCTCCCCCAATCGCTACCCCCTCAACTCTCTCCCGCCCTCCCTCCAAGCTCCCCCTCTTTCTCTTACTCTCTCCATATATCTCTCTTCCTCACTCGCTCCCTGCCCACCTCTATCTCCCCCAATCGCTACCTCCTCACCTCTCTCCCACCCTCCCTCCCAAGCTCCCTCACTTCCTCTTACTCTTCCATATAACTCTCTTCCTC